CCCCAGCCTTGCCCACACTCACCTGCAGGCGTCGGCAGCTGCGCAGTACTGGGACTGGATGGCCAAATTGATCTCCATGATCCGGATGGAGTGCAGTACTGGGCTGGGCTCTGTGGGTGGGAGGAGATTTAGGAACAGCAAAGGGATGGCAGCTTGGGTAACCTGAGTGAGAAGGGCTGGAAGGGACACTTGGCCACTGAGACCACCTTTCCTCATCACCCTGTCATCAGAGAGGAGGTCAGATTGCTGCAAGACTGTGTTAACACCATGTCCAGGCTTGGAGAGAGGTTTGGATTGGATATTGGGAAACATTTCTTTACTGAAAGAGTGGTCAGACATTGGAACAGGCTGCCCAGGGAGCTGGTGGAGTCCCCATCCCTGGAGGTATCTACAGGACGTGTAGATGTGGTACTTGGGGACATGCTTTAGTGCTGAACTTGGCAATGCTGGGTTTCCAGTTGGACTAGATGATCATAATGGTCTTTTTCCAACCAAACTATTCTATGAGAAGGGGTGTCCCTGATGATGCCAACAGCTGGTCATCGTCACCGTGCTCCCAGTGTGACTGATCTGTGTGTTCCTTCCTCCAGATTCGATTTAGATCAAGCCAAGACAGGGGTAAGAACACAGATACCAGTATGGCAACCTCAGAAGGGAACTAGCAACTGGTTAATATGGTCAGAAAGCATCAGGCAGCACCAGGGAGGAAGGACAGGGCTGGAGGCTGAACCTGGCTGCGCTGGGAGCCAACAAGCTGCAGGATGGGGACACAGCGAGAGCTGTGCAGGACAAACGAGACCCAGTTGGTTGAAGATACCCCAGGAGAGAACCCAGGACCACGGTGTCACTGCAGGGAGGGATGAAGATAAGGTCTATAGGGTCCACCTACCACCCGTGCTGGGATCCTCTGTGTGGGACCACTCGCTCCCCGGATGCTTGATGCTGCGCTGCTGCCGGCTCTGCCCCAGCGGGGAGTTGCTGCGGGAGAGCGAGAGGTTGGAGATGTACTTGGATTTGCCCTGGATGTGGGTGAAAGGGGAGGAGGGGCTGGCATTGGGGCTGCCGAAGCTCTGAGACCTGTCAGGTGTCTTTGGCCACTTGGTGTAGGAGATGGATTTCCCGGTGATGCCCCTGGATTTGGCTTTGATGTTTGTCACTGGTAGGAGTGAGGTTTGACTTTGGTCTGTGAAGAAAAAGGAAGAGAAAAGTTGGGCTGAGAGGCAGAGAGAGGCCAGCAGCTCCTGACCTCTGAGGTCAGAGCAGAGAGAACAGCTCTGGGTTTGTCCTGTCCCCATGTCACCTCCTGTATAACCCCACCGTGAGCAGCTAAGGCTTCCCAGCTTCTGTGGTCACCAGTGGTCCCCAGGGCTCAGCACTGGGACCTGTCCTGTTAAACATCTTTATCCATGATCTGGACCAGGGGATCAGGGCACCCTCAGTCAGTTTGCAGAAGGCACCCAGCTGGGTGGGAGTGTTGATCTGCTGGAGGGTTGGGAGGCTCTGCAGAGGGGTCTGGACAGGCTGGATCCATGGGCCAGGACCAAGTGCATGAGGTTCAACAAAGCCAAATGCCAGGTTCTGCTGGCATGAGGGAACTGGGGGTGTTGAGCCTGGAGAAAAGGAGGCTGAGGGGAGACCTTGTGGCTCTGTGCAAGTCCCTTGGAGGAGGGTGGAGAGAGGTGGGGGTGGATCTGTTCAAGCAAGGACCAAAGGACAGGACAAGAGGAAATGGGCTCCAGTTGTGGCCAGGGCAGTTGAGATGGGATGTGAGGAAGAATTTCTTTGCTGCAAGGGTTCTGAGGCATTGGAAGGGGTTGCCCAGGGCAGTGGTGGAGTCCCCATCCCTGGAGGGATTGAAGAGTCGTGTAGACACAGTGCTGAGGGACATGGGTTAGTCATAGGGGACTGGTCAGTGTTGGGTTCATGGTTGGACTCAACGAGCTTCAAGGTCTTTTCCAGTCGAGGTGATTCTGGGATTCTGTGCCTGAAGGGGCTGGTGGGATCCTCACAGAAGGAGAAGCTAGAGCAGGCTGTGGGGACAAAGCAGGGGCAGAGCCCTGGGCTGAGGCAGGACCTGCTGTTTAAGGCAGGGTTAAGACATGACTCCAGTGGGGTTACAGCTCTGCAGTGACTGCCTGAGGTGCTGTTTCTCCTGCACCAGTGACTTGCAAAAGCCCTGCTTGGGCAGCCAAAGGCAGGACACACCTCCTGGCCTCTCAGATCCCTGCTCAAGACAGCAGAATGAGCTCAGACTGCAAGGAACAGCTGCTCATGGATGCTGGCCAGCCTGGTGTAGCCTCTCATGACCTTGTGCTGGCAGAGCAGGCAGCTCCAAAGACCTTCCAGCCCCTACTTACCCCTGGCAACATGATCACGGATGTCTGAGCCATGCCACATGGGTTTGGAAGTCCTACTTTGCCCAACAGCTGCCTGCTGAGAAGGTCTCAACCCAGGCAGTGGGTGTGGAGGACACCAAGCACATTTTGAAGGGCAGGTTGCATGTCCTTTTTCATAACGTGCAGAGGTAGGACAGGAGGTGAGATGGGGTTGGGGATCCGAGGTGATGCAGTGGTGGAACAGACACACCTCAGTGTTGTTCCAGCACCTCCTGGGTGGCACTTACCTGTCCGGTTAGTGGCATGAGTGGGGCTGGTCTCAGAGGGGGCAACAGAGGAGACATTGGTGGGAGCAGCAGAGCAGCACATGGAGAAACAGGGTGGGCTGAAGCAGGCACGCACGCTGGGACCAGGTAAGCCAAAGACTAAGTCCTGCGTGTCTTCTGTGACTGCAGGAGAAACAGCAGGGACACCTGGAGTAAATCAAGGGGAGAACATCTAACAGGAGCAGCACCAAGTGCTCCTGGAATCCCTTCCACAAAACCAGAGCCCCAGGACCTCCCAGCATGAAGAGGAGTTCCTCACCTTGTTTTTTTTAGAAATACACAAATTCCACCCAAATTCATCCCAAGTAATTTCAGGTGTTTCACTGAAGTTACCAAGACCTGAGTTGAGGACACCACAGGCATCTCCAGAAGATAAGGCAGATGTCAAAGGGGAGGAACTGTGGCCTTGGGATGTTTTTTCTCCCATATCTGCACACAGAGCCCAGAGCAACACCACTTCTGGGCACCAGAGCTATGGGATACACCACAGCTCCTGCCTTCACGCATGGTAGCTGTCCACTGAGCAGAAATTTCTACTGAGCTCCTAACAAAGATGTTCAAGATTTGACCTGTCCAGACCCTGCCCAGCCACAGCAACAGTTCAGTTTTATCTGTATCTGTCCCACGTTTTGCTTGTCCACATCTTGCCTGTCCCCTTAGCCTGGCTCAAGGTTTCTCAAAGACTTAGAGAAATCAAAAGACCACTTTGTCATCTCCAAGACTTCCCTGACTACACGTATTTCTTATTTTATTACACATATTTTTTTTCTCTGGTGAAAGGAGATGCAACACCCATCTCCTGGAGGGAATGTGGGCACCAGCCTCTGGAGCCAACCTTCATCCCAACCAAAACCCAACCCTTATCCATCATGTTCCTCCACTCCTTTCCATCCACCTTGGATCCCACAAGCTGTTCCTTTTTTCACAGCTCCCTGTGAAACACTCTGCTCTGGAGTTCCTAAAAGAACCAATCAATTGTGCCTTCCACTGCTCTTTGTTTTCCTTTTTAAGGGCAGGATTTGGCAGCAGATCCCATTAACTGAGGTGCTTCACAGGTCTGCACCTAAGGAGGAACTCAGCCAGCTTTCCCCGTGTCCTTTCCAAACATTCCCAACAGGGATGCCTCATAAAAAGCAATAATTTAAGGGTTTTTTTTCCTATCCTTTTGTTTTTTGCACAATAAAATGACCTGTACTTGAGATTGAACCTCCACAACCAATCTAACCACATATGAAGGGAGGGTAGGAACAGCATTTTGGCCAATTCTTCAAAATCTTCATCCTTTTTACATCCTCCCCCCACTCCTTTCTAACTGTCTGCTCCTGCTCTACCTGTACTATATAATTTCTTCATTCAGCCTTTAATTAATTGGTTCTTCAATCTCCTCATCCTCATTTCCCCTTCTTGATAGGATCCATAATCCTTCCTCCTGGAGTCCCCACTTGCTGAAATATACTCACACCCCTTTTTCTTGAATTCTGTTTCAGATTCTTGGTCTTCTGTGGTGCAGATGGAAGAAAGAAGAAGAATTGAGAGAAGGGATGTAGGAATTAAATAAAGAATATCATGAAACAGTCACATACCGTGGACATAGAGCGACCGGGACCCCAGGACCCCTGTGTCGTAAGAGGGCCAGGAGACAGGCAGTGGGCACAGCAAAGGAGCTACAGGACAGTGAAGGGAGATGGGAAGAAGAGGTAGGTTGGGAGAAGATGAGGATGGGGAAGGGTGGGATGAAAGAGGATATGGAAGGTAATAGAAATAAAAAGACAAGAAGGGGAAAATTAAAAGACAAAATGGAAAGCAAATGGGTTGGATGAGAGATGGAACCAGAATGGGAGGGAGAAAAATAAGATGGGGAGAAGACAGAGAGAGAAAAAAAGAGACTCATTATCTGGTAACACGTGCACCCAAAGGGGTGAGGTGTGCCAAAACCATGTGCACGCTCCCCAGGCTGGGGCCATTCCCTCCACGTCATCTCCACACCAAGGGCACTGTTTGAAGAGGAAAACTCTTGTCTAGTACAGACTGGACCAGCCCCACTGCAATCAGTGGGATGAAGCTGCTTTAGTCCAGCTGAAGAGGCATCTAAAGAACATTGGGACTGGTCATGAGTGGATATGTGAGCAGCCAAACAACAGGGTATTCTCTTTGTCTTCTCCATTCCTCACTTCTTGCTCCAGATCATTTAACTGACATCAGACTTGGCTGTGCTGCTGTGTTTGGTTCATTTTACAGCTTGATAGGACAAGAGGAAATGGGCTCCAGTTGTGGCCAGGGTAGTTGAGATGGGATGTGAGGAAGAATTTCTTTGCTGCAAGGGTTCTGAGGCATTGGAAGGGGTTGCCCAGGGCAGTGGTGGAGTCCCCATCCCTGGAGGGATTGAAGAGTCGTGTAGACACAGTGCTGAGGGACATGGGTTAGTCATAGGGGACTGGTCAGTGGTGGGTTCATGGTTGGACTCAATGAGCTTCAAGGGTTTTTCCAGTCAAGGCAATTATTGGATTCTGTGATTCTCACTCCCTAGAACTGGGCTCAATAACCCCACAGTGGCTCCTTTTTTCCCTTCAGACTCTCCTGGCCACCACATCCTTCCCTCAGAGCCCAGAAGGACTTACCCATCGATATCCACAAGGTCCTCTTCACTGCGCAAGCTCAGCACGTAGAGCGTGGACATGGACACCACACTGGGAAGAAAGAGAGAGGTACAGGCTAAGGATGGGCATGGGGCAAGGGACATGGAGGGATTGAAGAGTCGTGTAGACACAGTGCTGAGGGACATGGGTCAGTCGGGGACTGGTCAGTGTTGGGTTCATGGTTGGACTCGATGAACTTAAAGGGCTTTTCCAATCCAGGCCATTCTGGGATTCTGTGATAGAATTGTTTTGATTAGAAAAGACCTTCAAGATCATCATGTCCAACAAAAAACCTCACACTGTCACAGTCATGTCACAGTACTGATCTGCTTCCAAGAGACTTCATCCTATGAAAGAAGCTGTAGGTCCACAGCCCCTCACTACACACCCCACGGGTGGCACGAGCCAAACCGATGAGCTTGGAGAGAGACAGTGGAGAAGCAGCAGCCTGGATGTGTGGTCTCACCTGAATGCCATGATGATGACCAGGGCAATGATGGTGCCTTGCAGGAAGCGCTGGCTGATGCAGGCTTGTTCTGGGACAACTGATGGTGACTGCAAGAGGAAAAACCCCAAGATCAGCTTAGGACTCTTTACTGCTCTGGACCTCGCATGGATCCCACCCAACCCATCCCACACTCTCTTCCTGCTCCCCTGCAAGCCTGGAGACCCCTCAGCACAGAAGCCTTATAACATCTTCATTAGGCATGGACAAAAAAGAAGGAGAGATCATGGAAATGGGAGCAGTCAGGGTCTCTCCCTCTGCAGCACATAGAATCATCAAATGGTTTGGGTTGGAAAGGACCTTCAAGATCATCTAGTTCCAATGCCCCTGCTGTGGACAGGGTTTCCAACATGTAAGAAAACACAGGAGGACCATGCAGACAACCCTTCTTAGTCAGGCCACTGTCCCCAACAGCACGTTGCTCCTTTGGGAGCGGTCCCTTACCTTGCTGGCTACTTTGTGGGGCCTCTTTTTGTGGGGCACACTTCCTGCACGGCTGAACTGGCTTCCTGTTTGGCTGCAAGGAGAAAGGAGGAATGGAGCTGAGATCATAGAATCCCAGACTGGTTTGGATTGGAAGGGACCTTAAAGATCATCCAGTTCCAACCCCCCTGCCAGCAGCAGGGACACCTTCCACTAGACCAGGTTGCTCAAAGTCTCATCCAGCCTGATGAGATTGTGATCCCCAGGCAAATACGTGGTTCTCTGGTAGGGGAGAAACCTCTGTGTGGCATGACAGTCACAAACCCTTGTCACTTCATCTGCTCAGGGGTAGGTGAAGTGCTGGTCCATCACTCAGAGAACTGGAATTCTGCCCCAAAACCTGCATAAGCTGACCAGGGTCAGGATGATGTTTTTGGAAGCATGAGAAACTCTTTGCCCTGAGAAGGCCACTCACTTACTCGAGGAGATAATTTCACTCTGGGGTGTTTTTGGGCTGGTCTAAGAGCAGGCTGTTGGTATGTCTATGCCAGACCTGTCTCACCAATCTCAGCTCCTTCAACCTACCCTGGGCCAAATGACAACTGCCAACACCCCACCACTCCTCCCATCTCTCCTTTCCCAAATCAAGCTGTCACTCAGGACTGCCTGGCCTCAAAAGGAGACATCCCTTCTGGCTCCTGTGCCCTCAGCACACTCATACCTGAATGTCCCAGAGCTCACAGTTGACTTCATGCTGTCCAGCCGTTTGAGCTTGGCCAGCTTGTGACTCCACCTCTCCAGCTCATCAATACGGGTCTCCAGGTTGTCTGTCAGTTTGCACAGCTCCTTCACAGCTCCCACATTCTCCATGAAGATCCGCTCCTGCCAAAGAACAGGTCAGCAGTCTGAGTGGTCTGGCACATGGAGGCTATTCCTGCTCCCATGGATCTGGCCACCCTGACTGCTCTCTCATGCCCTGCCCCATGGGAAAAGCTACACAACATCCTGCTCTGAGGAGAAGGAATCATCCAACATGGCCCATCTAGATCTCTACAGCCCCTGGAGATAAGACCAAGAGAAAGACTCTTCAAACATAATTCAGGAGCACAGCACAGACTGGGATCTACCTGTCTGGAGAGCAGCTCTGTGGAAAGGAACCTAAGGGTCCTGGTGGACAACAAACTCAAGATGACTGAACAGTCAACAGGATACTGGGTTGCAACAATAAGGGCACCACCAGCAGAGATGAAGAAGTCATTGTCCCACTCTACTCAGCACTTGTCAGGCCACACCTGGAATATTGTGCTCAGTTTTGGTCACCTCTATACCAAAAAACCTGTGGACAGGCTGGAGAGGGCCCAGAGAAGGTCCATGAAGGACTAGGAAGCCTGCCATATGAGTGGAAAGGCTGAGAGAACTGGGTTTGTTCAGCCTTGAGAAAAGAAGACTGAGGGGACACCTCATCACCACGTTCCAGTACCTCAAGGGTGGCTACAAAGAAGATGGAGACTCCTTTTACCAAGGATTCACATGATAAAAATGATGGGTAATGGGTAAGTTTTGGACACAAGAGGAAACTTATGACAATGAGAACAATCAGCCATTGGAATAATCTCCTGGGGGAAGCAGTGAGCTCCCTGGCATTGGACATCTTTAAGATTCAGCTGGACAGGGTCCTGGTCACAAAGGAGAAACAAGGCACCAAGGTCAATCTTGGTCATTCCTACTCTGGACAGAGTGATACAGGAGAGAGCTGGCAGCTTTGGGAGGCTGTCCCCTCGATGTGTGCTATGGGAGGTTGTCCCCTCGATGTGTGCTACGGGAGGTTGTCCCCTCGATGTGTGCTATGGGAGGATGTCCCCTCGATGTGTGCTATGGGAGGATGTCCCCTCGATGTGTGCTATGGGAGGTTGTCCCCTTGTCCCCTTGATGTGTGCTACGGGAGGATGTCCCCTCGATGTGTGCTATGGGAGGTTGTCCCCTTGTCCCCTTGATGTGTGCTACGGGAGGATGTCCCCTCGATGTGTGCTATGGGAGGTTGTCCCCTTGTCCCCTTGATGTGTGCTACGGGAGGATGTCCCCTCGATGTGTGCTATGGGAGGTTGTCCCCTTGTCCCCTTGATGTGTGCTACGGGAGGATGTCCCCTCGATGTGTGCTATGGGAGGTTGTCCCCTTGTCCCCTTGATGTGTGCTACGGGAGGATGTCCCCTCGATGTGTGCTATGGGAGGTTGTCCCCTTGTCCCCTTGATGTGTGCTACGGGAGGATGTCCCCTCGATGTGTGCTATGGGAGGTTGTCCCCTTGTCCCCTTGATGTGTGCTACGGGAGGATGTCCCCTCGATGTGTGCTATGGGAGGTTGTCCCCTTGTCCCCTTGATGTGTGCTACGGGAGGATGTCCCCTCGATGTGTGCTATGGGAGGTTGTCCCCTCGATGTGTGCTACGGGAGGTTGTCCCCTTGATGTGTGCTACAGGAGGTTGTCCCCTTGATGTGTGCTACGGGAGGTTGTCCCCTCAATGTGTGCTACGGGAGGTTGTCCCCTCAATGTGTGCTATGGGAGGTTGTCCCCTTGACGTGTGCTATGGGAGGTTGTCCCCTCAATGTGTGCTATGGGAGGTTGTCCCCTTGATGTGTGCTACAGGAGGATGTCCCCTCGATGCCCAGAGCAGCAAACGAGCTTCTCACAGGTTATGGAGAGGTCAAGCAGCCAGGTGCTCTGGGTTATCCTGACATAACCACCTTATCTTATCTGGAAAGGAGGGATTATGACTAAGATCCTCCCTACAGGAGGCTGCCAACAAGGAGACTTTCCTGAGGGAGAAGCTGCCAACTTTCACCAACATCAAGCTAGTTCCTCCCTGCTGATGTCTGTTGTCCACTCAGCACTGCTCCTGACATCTGAAAGATCAGCCAGGTCTGAAACTCATAGGGGTGGTGTTGGCCTAGAAGCATTTCCCAGGCATCACAGTTTCCCTCTTCCATTTCCAGCTCCACAACTCCCTCGAGCCAGGTTCAACAGCCTCCCTTGTCCCTCCTAGCTGCCACCAACCTTGTTCACCACCAGGAAGTTCTCAAGGGTCTTCCCATTGGAAAAGACCAGGTCTCCGGTGTCTTTCACAGCTTCAGGCAGGATCTCCTTTACCTCCTGAGCAATGACACCTGCATGGAAACAGCACAGTTGGGTCAAGGTGGTCTGGGCAGGACTCCTCCTGCCACAGCCCTTTTCTCTGGCCCATGCGGTTGTTGGCAGGAACCCTGTTCACCAGGGATGACACAAGGTTGTCTTCTGCTCACCCCAGCCTGTGCAGGGCCAGGCAGAGCTCATTGGTGGCCTAGACAGCCCATACAGGCTCAATGACAGAAGATCAGAGGCTGTTCAGACGAGGATGGTTCCCAGATTGCACAGAGAGGGGTGTTCACATCACCCCACCATGGTGCATGGTTGTACCCCTGGAGAGAGGTGGTGGGGACTTGGAGAACCCTCATCACAAAAGGCCACCTGTGGGAAGTGCCATCTTCTCTCCCACTCACTAAAGAGGGAATTTCATTAGATGCCTAAACTTCAGGTGGTGAGAACCTCATCCAACCACCGGGAAAAGCAGGGCAGAGCTGCTCAGCACCAGGAACAAAATGCTGCCGTAGGTTGCAGAACATGAGGTCCACGCAAGCAGGTCACCGTGGTGTGACACAGGGCCCATACCTGTCTCAGAGGTGTTGTCAATGCCCACCGTGGCTGCAAACTCAGGCTTGTAGTTGTAGTGTACTAGCCGCATCCGGGAGATCCTCTTCAGCTGCTCTGTGGTGTCCACCTGGGACAAAACAGACACGTGATGCTCCTAAGAGGGGTTTTGCTTCTGAAGTTCCCATCACTCTTGACTCCAAGCAGCAAACCTCAGGATGGCTCATGGTAATAGCTTTGTGAGACAGCACTTCATGAGACAGCCCTGAAACCTGCTCAGACCAGCCAGGAGGACAAAGAGCATTTGGGGATAATCTCCAGTTCTTCTCACTGGACAAGTTCCTTGGGTAGTGAAGCCAGGAGGAGACCAAGTCTCGTTCCACAACCAGGCCCAGGGCAGAGGCAGTTCTCATAAATATGAGACATGACTGTACCCAGCTTTTCTGGACAGGCACATCCAGCTGAGAGCACTTCAGAGCAGAGCTGAGCTTCTCACCCAGGCTCTGGCAACCCCTTCCCTAAGACAAGGTGGACAGATATGTTTGGGACAATCAGATTTCTAAGGCATTAGTCAGGAGCTCAAGCTGCCCATAAGGACTACGTCAAAATCAGCAGCTGAAAACAGGTTCACAAGGACACTCTGACTTTCTATGGTGCCTTCTCAGACCCCTGATCACACCAAACCCAGCCTGGTTTGCCTGGCTCTTACCTCCTGGATGTCCTCCTTCACTCGGACATCTGAAGGGTGCATCAGTGAACCCATGACCTTCACGTTGCCATGGACCACGAGAGCTTCATCAGGGCGGTCAGTGTTGATGCCAACCCGGCCGTGATGAAAAACAGTATCAGGGAGCTGTGCCCGCTGCCAGAGGACATCACTGTCACTCTCAAACTGGCCAGGGTTGGAGGCCTGTGGAGAGACAGGAAAGTGAGGACTGAAAAGCAGGAGCAGCAAAAGCAGGGAGAGAAATGCTGGAGCCAGATCCCAGACAACACGGAGAGCTACAAGCAAGGTGGTAAGAGTTTGGAGAGGGTGAGAAAGGGCTGGGTGGAGAAAGCACTGAAAAACCAGAGGAAGGCAGGAGGATCACCCAGGACATCCAGGAAAGGACTGTGGGGCACCTGCAGAGGTTGAGGGAGAAGAGAGGGACTCACTCTGACAATGATGCGCTCAGAGATGTGGGCTGCGAGCGTGTAGTTCTGGTTCTGTGCATGGGCCTGCAAGGCCACCACCAGCATGAAATACCTGCCAAGAGGAGAGAGACATCAGGGTGCCATCCTGCACTGGGAACTGCTGAGTCCACTTCCCTTCTGGAGGCCAAGACACCAAGCTTGGTGTCCTCTCCTTGTGCTGTGGAGCACAGGCACTGTCCCCAGTCCCTTATAGAGTGGGGAGACCCTTCTTGTGGCCACAACAGACATCTCCTGTCCACCACACAGGTAAGGATGGCCAATTCAGGAACTGTCCCCCATGTCCCCCTTCCTCCAACCACACTCCCCAGCTTGGTGACTGGCACATCCACAGGTCTTGAGGGCTCAGAATGGTTTGGAGAAGGCACGTGTGGTCCTCACCTCTGGTCTGGGTTGGGTTTGCCTTTCTTCCGCATGTTGTTGGCCGTGGTCTCGCTGAAGTGCAGCCGCCCCACGGTGACCTTGGTGACTTGCTCTGGAGGCAGGTTGACCCTGAGGAAAGGAAAACAGAGGAGCGAGTGAGTGAGGACACTGCTAGAGAGGAGGTTCTTTGAGGAATGGCCATCTCCTGGCCTGTTCCACCAAGACAGGTCTATGAACTGGGCACGGAGCAGGGAATGTAAAGAGAGGAAAACTTTGCTGTGGGAAACAGAGGAGAAAACTGGTGGAGAGTGTGACACCCACAGTACTGCCCTGAGACCTCCAACTCAGCCCCTTTCCCCACCTTCTCCTGCTATCACTTATTCCCCTGGAGCACTTCCCCCAGGTGAAGGTACCTGGGCAATACTCACGTGACGGGGTTGAAGGGCCGTTTGCTGCGGTCAGACTGGGACTGCTCTATATTGATCGACTGGTTCAAGGCCTCTAGCTGGAGAGAAAGATTTGGGCATGTGACAAAGAATCATTGAATCATAAAGGTTGGAAAAGACCTTTAAGATCATCAAGTCCAACTGTCAACCCAACACCACCGTGCCCGGTAAACCATGTCCCTGAGTGCCACATCTACATGGTTTTTATGGAAAGCTGAGACCTTCCCCTTCCCACCTCCTCCTCAGCACAGCCCAGCTGTCTGCCCAGCCCTCCTATGACTCGGGACAACCAACTTGCAGCATTCAACTTGAGTGTGGTCATTGTCCAAGCATGGGTACCTCCCTCAGCAGGGTGGCACCTAAGGGTGAAAGGATCTTCCCAAAGTGTCTATATACCTCTGGAGTCAAAAGTGAGTGAGAAGCAGCTCTGAAGACACCCAGGCAGTGATTGAGTCCATCTTCAGACTCATATTTCAAGATCTGCCTTGTTCTGGCCTTCAGCGCTCTCCTACACACTCCCCTACAACTGAGCACATGAAGATGTGGTGTTGCCTGATCCCAGCCATCTCCTGAGCATCCCTTCTCCCAGCTGGATTCACTCCTGGCCCTTAGCTCCCGCTTGCCTTCACTCCGTGCAGCTTCAGGTAGAAGCACTCTAAGGGTTTCAGGCCTTCGGGGGTCTTCACATACTTGGGATCTCCAAGCATGCCGATGTAGACCGTGACCTGGAAGTGATTCTTCTTCTGGCACACAAAGGCATCATCACCCACCGAGAAGTTGAACCCTTTGTCAGCATCGACGCGGTACGTCAGCATGGGGCTGTGGAAAAGGCAGCAGGTGTTAGACCAGAGCCCTGTGCACACCACGAGAGGTTCATGCTTTCTGGGGGGAAGGATGAGCCACACACTTGGAAGAAAAGACAATGAGGGGTCCATAAGGCATGGAACAAAGTCACATCCTGGGTGGGATGAGCTGGGAGGGACAGCTCACCTCCACGTCCCACCAGGTATGAAAAGCAACTGTGTCAGAGAATCATGGAATGGTTTGGGTTGGAAGGGACCTTCAAGCTCATCCAGTCCCACCCCCCCTGCCAGCAGCAGGGACACCTTCCACTAGACCAGGTTGCTCAAAGCCTCATCCAACCTGGCCGAGAACACTTCCAGGGAGGAGCAGCCACAGCTTCTCTGGCCAACCTGGGACACTGTCTCACCACCCTCACACCAAACAATTTCTTCCTCCCATCTCATCTCCATCTCCCCTCTGCCACTTTCAAGCCATCACCCCTTGTTCTGTCACTCCCTGCCCTTGGCCAAAGTCCCTCCCCACCCTTCCTGGAGGCCATATAGTCATGAATAGTCCCACCTCAACATAGATCACAAAGGCCACCTCCACTCACATATACAGCCACAAAATAATCCTGAGGCAGAGCAGGCACATGGGAGGGGAAGGAGGGTTGAGTTGGGGTGAAAGAGAGAGCTTCTGATGCTGTCCCTCCTGCCCTGCACTGACACTGCTCTTGGGTCCCCATGGGGCCAACCGGCACAGGCAGGCACTGCTTGATATGAACCCAACACCTTGTCTAAGCCCACGCAGCAGCCCATCCTGCTGTGCAGGGAGGAAAGTTCAGAGAAGGTCCAGGTCCATCTCCTTGAAGCTGCAAGCTTTGCTTTACAGAATCACAAAACTGACTCGATTAGAAAAGCCCTTTAAGCTCATCGAGTCCAACCATGAACCCAACACTGACCAGTCCCCTATGACTAACCCATGTCCCTCAGCACTGTGTCTACAGGACTCTTCAATCCCTCCAGGGATGGGGACTCCACCACTGCCCTGGTTCCTTTGAGCAGGATTTGAGGAACATCACCCTATAGCACTAATGCTGTAAATACAGAAGAACATGAGCCACGAGAAGCCAGCGTCTCCTTTCCAAGAGCTGCTCCTAAAAAGTCCAGCTGCTTAGTCCTGACTCAACACACCCTGGAGACACCAAGCCCCACAGCCTGGAGGAGATCCCTGAATGCTGCTCGCTGGGGGAAGCAGCTCAGGTTGAACTTGGTGGGGGTCTCACATCTCCACTCACTTCACCCATCGCATTCCCGACGACGCCTGTGCTGGTGATGCTGGATTCCTGATGAAATCACAAACACCTGCTCCAAAAAGCTTCCAGCTCTCCCATCCAGAGGATGGAGGAGGAGGAGGAGGAGAGGGGCCCTGGCTGCCCGATGAACACACACCAGCTGGGGAGGTTTAATCTACATCTCTTTTAATGGGCTGGTTACCATGGGAACGAGGGAAATATGTGGCCTTTGCAGTAAGTCTCCTTTTTCTCACCATCCAAAAAGCCAGACCGGGGCTGGTGGGCCCCTGGGGTGCTGCCCATCCTACACAAGGGGGGAAGGAGATGCTTCTCATCCCACCTCCCCATCAAGCCTTCCTAACAGAACACCCAAATCCCATGGTTTTTAATCAGCTGAGGTGAAGGGGACCTCAGCCTCGTCTTCCAGATCAGGCTTACAAATATTGGAGTGTTCTTCTGCAAAATCAAACCACTGCTGACTTCCACCTCCAGTTCTTAATACAGACAGACAGATACTGCCCAGAGCAATGGGAGGGGAGATGGACAGACTGCCAGCCATGGAGGAGGCTGACCTCAGCAGGCTCTGGGAAGCAGGAGATATAGAAAGGTCACTCTTGCTCCTCTGGTGTCGTTTTCCTTTCTTCTGGGAAGAAAGCCATTCTCCCCCCACACACACTGGAGGGGTTAACGTGGATGAAAGCTGTGGGTGTTTCCAAGCAGCCATGAATAATGTCAGGATGGCCCTGAGCAACTACTACTCATTTCTTGCACCCAAGGGACCTGGAGCTGCCATGCCATGGTCCAAACACAAACCAGACGGTGGGAGCAGAGCACTACCTTAGCCCAGAAGCACGAGAGGAATTCCCCTCTGCTCTCACCCTTCTCCCAGCCCCAGCCCTGACTTCATCTGCCTTTTCTTGATGAGAAGCCACAGTTTGGGTTGGCTGGAGCACCCTCCATGCTCACTCCATGGGTGCCAGAGCCCTTCCCAACTGCTTTCACCAAGATCTACCTGCTGAGCTTCCTCCAGGACCCCCAAGTACCCACCACTTGCCCCACTGGTTCTTAACAGAGAAAGCAGAGGAGAGAGAGGAACTGACTGAAATTCCAAACCACAGATGCTTCCAAAACATGCTCTGGTTAATGTCACTCAAACTGACAGCTGCTAAACACACGTGTTGAGAGAAGGGAGACAGCCAGGCTTCCCTTCCTCTGTCTTCTAGGAATGCCTGGTCCCACCAGAGCACCTTTCTCAGAGGCTCCTTCTCTCTGAGCTTTCCCAGTGGCTGTGGTTGGTGCATCCCCAAAGCTGGATCCCTGCACTGGGGTAGATCGGAGGCAAAAAGCTGCTTTCCAGGTATCAGAGGATCTCCCCAGCCCTCTGCCTTCAAGCCATCACCTCTGACTCAGCCAAGGAGCTGCTCTCAGCTTGTCCCCCACTGCAGACAGGGTGGGGGATCCCCTGGATCTCCTATTCCAGCGCTTTGGTGCTCTCACATTGTAAATCCCACCTGGAAGCAGCAAACCCACTTCCCTACTGCCACGTGGTGCAGGGACATCATTGACTGAGGCACCTTAAGGACTCCAGACACTCGAAAAAAACATCCTCCTTTTCATCTTGAACCACAGAGACCTTAAGGTCACCACCACGCTGCCCCAGACCCAGTCCTTGGGCAGCAACTGGCAGCGTGTCCCTCCTGAGACACGCTCTCTGGATGGGCAGCACCAGGAATGGGGTGGCAGGAGAAGGAAGGGCAGGTGATGCCAAGGCAGAAGCAGTTCCTGGGATTAGGGATGACACCAGCCACTGACAAGTCAATGGCCTGGGAGTAGCCAAAGCCATGTTGGCTTTTCCTAGGGAGAGTGAAGGGCTCAGAGGGCAAAGTGTCAGGAGGAAAAGGTCTGGGGTCAAATGGATTATTTTAGCCAAAGCAAAGGCACTGCAAGGAGAAAGGTGTCTTTGATGAAACAGGAACTGTACTGGGACCTGTGGCCAAGAGCAGATTGTCAGAGGGATGCTCACATACCTCAATGTTTTTCTCTCTGGAAGAAGCATCTCCCCCATTTCTCTCCTCCTTCCTTCCAGGTTCCTCAGTATTTCAATCACTCCTAAGTCATGTCTGGAGACCCCCTAATCCAAGGATGACTCACTAATTCCATACAGTCCCTGCTTTGTTTCTCTTCCAGCATCCAAACACCAGGATGGAGGATAAGAACCTGCAGTTGAGCAGCGTGACGCTGCCATCTCACCCCATCCACGTCAGACTGACAGTGACACAACCCCACCAGTGCACTCACAGCTCAGCACTGTTCATGGTCCCTTCAGCTGCCCAAGATACACTCACTGGCATGAGAGAGTGAGACCTCAGTGATCCATCACCATAGGCTTAGCCAAGGTGGTCAACAGAGCCAACACACTGTGTCACCTAACCCAAAACACATCCAGCAGGACTGGACCACCTCACACTGGTCTCTGTCCTCTTGCTGAGATCCAAGATCTGCAGCAAAGCCAGGTTTGGTGCTGTTTATAAGGACATTTCTTTTAACCAAGGAATGCAAACCTGAAAGCTCAGGTTTAACCCGCAGCTTTAGAGGAGAACACATGGAGAGCACCAGTTTGTTTGATGGGAGGAGAACGGCACCAGCCCAGTTCCCAGGGTCAGAGCAGAGAGGCCTCAGCGTGGAGATGTTTCTGTGGAGCACTGCACTGCCCTTCACCAGCTGCCTTACCTCAAACTGTAAACACAGGGGGAGAGGGAGGAGGGACCTGCTGGCATTTATCAGAGCACGCTGTCAGGGAGATGGATGACTCCTGCTCCCAGGAGTAAATGAGTGAACTGCCTGGTTCCAGACCTGGAAACCAGCTAAACCTTTTTTGAAGGTTCAGTGAGTCTGAAACCACAAAATCAGTGCAAAAGGCCAAAAAGAAATGTATTATCAATAAAACTAATCCAGAGACATCGGTCTCCTTCAACCAACAGAGATTCCTCAGCCCACATAAGCAAAGCCTGAGACACAAGCCCAACAAGCCAAGACACAGATTTCCAGGCACCTCCACTCAACAACTCCCAGAATCCCAGAATTTCCTCAATTGGAAAAGCCCTTTAAGATCATCAAGTCCAATCATGAACCCAACACTGACAAGTTCCTGACTAACTCATGTCCCAGTAGGTATCACTTCATGGTTTGTTCTGAGGAGCCTCTCCATTTGCTGAGCAGATCAGACAGCTGGTGGGCACCATGAAAGTACATCCAAAATCCCAGCAGAAGTCTGGCAAGAGGCCAGCAACTTGAGTTCCCCCCAAAAGCAGCATAAGGAGACAAGGTGGCAGTGTTGGTTGACACAGACAGATTCTTGGATCTCAAACAAACTCCCAGATCCCTCTGGGTTTGAGGTTTCCCCCCCACAAGATACTCATTCACAACAGAAAGACCTCAAATCTGGAAAAATTTCTCCTTCTCAACTGATCAACCTCCAAACATGATGGACTTTGAGACATTTGAGTCCTGCTCTCAGCAGAGAGACTTCTAAAGGACCCAATTTTGTGTGTGCAAGAGGCAATAGGATTTAAGGGTATTTTTTTGCCCTGTAAGGTTATATTTAGCCTGGAATTAACATGGAACGTTACACATCCATCCAGAGGCACAAGCATCAACTATTCTCTACAGCTTCAAAAATATAATCAATAAAGTCCTGACGAAGCAATTATTCCACCAGCCCAACAGAAAGTGTCATGTCTAG